ATGTACATTCTATTTTTACATCGGAGATATTAATTATACATTAAATATGTTTCATTTGATATATCTCATGTTTTGAAGTATGTAGACATATCTGCACCCGAATTTTTAAAACATTTGGACTACTAGCTATTTAGCTATATTGTATTCATGCAGATACTAATCAATAATAACAGAAGTGCAATTCTTTTTCCTGAACTTTATACTACGCTATATCTGTAAAGTGCAGTTTAGTACTGTTTATATTCACATCCATGCGATGTACTTTATTTTGTTATGTACATTATATATTTACGTTTACTGCTGAAAAATGCCCGAGTTGAAAAATGCCCGAAACTTGAATGATCAAGACTAGCCGGCATACAATAATATTTCACACACTGTCATCCCATCCCGGACAGCTATTTTTTGTACGATAACATACATCCCAGTGCAGTCTACGGTTTCCCTAATTTCTACTGGAGCTGGGCTCTGATTGATGGTGAAACAAGTTGGATTGTCCATGATATTCGGCTCACTACCAACACGTACTACAGAATCGGGGAAATGACCTGGTAATAATAAAAATAATATTCGATATTATTGCTCCAGTAATTGACCTACCTCGGAAATTCCAACATGCCAAACCATTTAAAGGGTAAATATGTACGACTGTTTAACAATTTTATCCTGTCATAACTGAACCGCGAAACATCCACAAAAGCAAAATTGCTAAAATGTCATTTAAAAATAGATTTTTGTTTATTTGATGTAAGTTGTAAATAAGAAATCGTGAAAATAAACAGATATTGTGACACAATAAGCATTATTAAATGATAATTATAACGTTTGTGTCGATACTTACGACCATAATCCGGAGAAAGCATAAGGACAATTTCTCTTATCCGATATTCCTTGCCTAGGTTCACCATTAGATACGGGTTCTTTTTGACATTAACTGTTGCACATACTAAATTATCTCCATCGGTTGCAGCATTGGCAGTCAGGGCACCAGTTACTTCTTTCATATATGCCAGATTTACTATGTGTAAAAAAGAATAAATACGATATGAAATATGATTGTAGAACTATTTTTAGAAATGTGATGCAGAAGTTTTAAATTTACCATTTTCTCTATATTTACCTGGCTCTGAAAGAGTAGATTGTGCATACGTTGTACTGGGCATCGTAGTCAATGGTTCACTCACTGGCTTCGCTGTAGTTATACGTGGGGACTGCGTTATATCCGTTGTTGATTCAAAGAGCGTTGTACTCAGCCCGGTAGTCTGGTACTCAGTTGTCAGTGTATACTCAGGTGTGGTAGAATCCAGCAATAAATCCATACTTGTTGTTTTAGTTATTTGTTCTCCATTTGTTGTGGATTCTGTGAATTGGCGATTTGCAAATATCAATTTCTGTTGACTGCTATGTGGTATATTTGTATGCACGTGTTGTTATAGTAGGTGCGGAGAGAGTTGTACTGGAATTGTTGAAGTTTAATTTGAAATGACCTACAAAATCAGATATTCTCTCGAATCATTATTCACATAATTCTTTCACGAATTCGTACATCTTATATGGTTTATAGTAGGTTTTCAAATGAACTTGTATATTATTTAGCAATAGAAAAAGATGAATCCCGCAGAATACTGGATGGCATCTGACTTGATTAATGACGAATTATTTATGTTTAGAGGCTGGTTTCTGTTTAAATTTTTGAAATACGTATTGTGTTATCGAAAACATAATATGAGGATGATTTAACTCAAATAAAACTAATAATATATTGGCATATTTATTTTGAAGGAATATCCACAAAATATTCACTTACCTAACGCTGTAGTTGCTGGCATTGAACGTGTATATATGTATTCAGTGGAAGATGTATTCCCTGTATTCTGTGTGATGGTGCTTGAATCATGTGATGTTATTTGCTCTGAGGCTGTGTTGTCAATGAATGTTGATGTTTGATAAGTCGACCTGTCCATGGTAGGCGTTGCTGTAATTGATGTGATGGTTGTTTCCGGAGTAATGCGTATGCGTTGATCTACGATCATATTTTGTATTACTGATAGAATGTGTATCAATTGTCGTTGCAGGAATAGTCGTTCCATGCGATTGAGTGCCGATATTTGTAGAAAGTGGGGCGCTTGTCATCTCTGTCTGATGGCTAGTAGTGGTTAGTTCAGGATACGGTGTAGAAGTAGGTATTTCGCTGTTATGTGATAAAACCGTAGTGCTCTGTAAGTCTGTGACATCTGTAAGAATGTCGGTAATCGTTTTATCTGTAAAATAATGCAAGTCTGTAACTTCAGTCTTGTAGTTAGCAGTGGTCTGTTTGGTATTTTGTGGGCTCCATGTAGGAAAAAGTATTCCGGTGGTATGTGAGAATACCGTCGTGTTCTTGAGGTCTGTGACAGCTGTAAAAATGTCGGTACTTGATTGTTGCGTTGGTTCTGATGATGTTATCGTGTTTAATGTTTGTTGATCATTTCCTAAAGAGGTTGAAACAGGTAGAGTTTCTTGTGTAGAGTGGTGCAATTGTGTGACTTCTGTTTTGTAGTTAACAGTGATCTCTTTTGTATTTACGGGGTTCCATGTAGGAGAGAGTATTGCGGTGTTTTGTGATAATACCGTCGTGCTCTGTAAGTTTGTACCATCTGTGAGAATGTCCGTACTTGAATGTTGCGTTGGTTCTGATGATGTTATCGTGTTTAATGATTGTTGATCATTTCCTAAAGTGGTTGAAGCAGGTAGAGTTTCTTGTATAGAATGGTGCATTTGCGTGACTTCTGTGTTGTAGTTAGCAGTGATCTGTTTTGTATTGACGGGGTTCCATGTTGGCGAGAGTATTGCAGTGGTATGTAATGAAACTGTGCTATGTACGTCTGTAGGAATGTCGGTACTTGGTTTTACTGTTGGTTTTAATGTCGTTGTAGTTTTTAACGAGTATTGGTCTGTTTCTGGACTGGTTGGTCCTGGACTTGTAATGGATACTTGTGATGTGATCCATGTGCTTTTTTCAGAAGTTCTTGCAGAAGACAAATCGTGGAAATAGTAGTACTGTATTGTTCAGTTGTGCTCCTAACACTAACACTAACACTAGTAGTATTAATATCAGGCACTGTGAAATTCTGTGGATATGTTGTATTAGTATTATCTGTCAAAAAACAAAACACAAAATAATATGTGTTAATATTATGTCAAAATCAGGAAAGAAAATAAAGTCTATCAACAGAAATGCTTATGATATACAAATCAGATATAAGCTTTTAATGGATACACAAATCAGATATACTTACCCGCTGAGTTACTTTGTGCTTTTCGAGTCAGCATTGACACAGCTATAAGGGAAACGACCAAAACAACAGCAACAGATGTCGCTGCAACAGCACTAGCTTGCATAGTAGCCGTCGAAGCACATAATGTGGCCTAAAACAGTATCACATATGTACGTTACTTTCACGAAATAACACGTTTCAATAGGATTCTGTGAGCAATGATGCAAACTCCTGTATTTCTTTCTGTGGATGGTCATACACGTGTATATAATTAACATTAATTCAAGATGACATATATAGTATAACTTTTAATACAGGCAATTTATCACCAACCATAACTTCGTTTCTACAACTGTAGTTAACTAATCGCTAATTTGTGTTCATATTTTGTATATTAAAAAGTATTATTATACATCTGTCACCGTAACGACATAAGTTACAGCGTGCCGTAATTCCGCGGTGCACTGGGTATTTTTATCCTACCATATTAGGAAATGCTGATTCCAAATATGTAATGATTACGCGCGTAAGTCTCCTCTAATAATAAAAAAAAACATAGCTGCCACCTGATTCTACACAGAAGTTGATTCTGTTCTAAACATTTTGGATTTCGGCATTCCTATGATGTATTCCTGGGAGGAAAAGATGTATAATAATAAGGTTATTACGAGAATCCCTCAAAGTATGCAATCAGATATTTACTGTCTCCGTGCATACTTTGAGGTATTCTTGTAATAACCTCATATTGTTTTTATTTTTGTTGTTATTGTCACTGTGCAACTTTTGGATCATAGAGTTCTTTGTATTCTATATCGAATAATTTGGAGCGTTGTGTGTTTTATAGTTTTATAGCATTGGTTTTGACAAGTTATATTATGAAGGTCATAACTTTGTACCTCTTATTAGTACATAGCTATGTTTTTGCCAGTTTCCGTTTTTAAATTGCCCTTTATTTTTTGTATCACTTGTCTTAACTTTGAATGAGCTATAATATAAAAAAATGTGATAATGCCAATTCTGATTCAGGTAATTTTATTTGTTGTAATAAACACGAGGATTGTCATGTGACTAGACACTTTGACCGTACATCGGTAACTGTGGAAATGATATCAAAATGTCATAAACACGTTAGTAGCAGCATTTTACCATGCACTGCTTGTGCTTTGGACATCACTGTTAATATGTTTGCTAGTTAGTATTGACCGAACGGTTCCACTATCCATGGTGATCAGCCTCACAGTTCTAATTATATATAAAAACAATGATTTACCGTTTGAATGTTACAATATAAACAATTTTAATTGGAACCAAATGCAGTGAATGCATGTAAAATTTAGTCAGAGAAGTATTTAAAAAAAAATGGTTACTAGTAGCGTGATGTGTGAATGAATAATTGTCAAGCAAAACGTGTACCGGATTGATCAGGTATCTCTTAACACTCATATTAGTTGTATAAATAAGAGGTACAATAGAATTTATACTATAGTAATATATTCTAAAACTACGTGATTTGACGGACGGCAAAGATAACACAGAAGCTTGCATAATATAATTCTTACTAGTTTATCTCTAAACCCCGCAGAAACAGTGCCACTACCTTTTCTGATGGTTCGAAACCT